ACCGTGCTGAGGATGTGGGTGAGACCTGCCAGCCTGGCCCTGCTGGCACAGGGAGAGTGGTATTCAGCCCAGTGCGGGCCACCACAAGAAAGCACAGGGGCTCTCTGGCCCACCTAGAGCATCCTTTGACTGCCCAACCCTGGGACATTGCTCCATGCCTTCTCTCTGCTTGGAAGGGAAAGGCAACAAGGAAAAGATGATCCCCTTCTCCATAGTGGCAGGACGGCTCCTTGCAGTACCTGGTCTCTACCTGTCCCTGTCTGCATGCACCTATCTGGATATCTCCACATGCTTTTGTTTTTTCCATCCTGAAAAAACCTTTTCTTCCTCAGAAGAAACCTGTCTGCACAGGCAGTCTCAATCCTAAGTACAAGCCTGAGTCACTACCTGGCCATATGTCCAGCCACCAGAGGCACGGAGACGCGCTGCTGACCCAGGCTGGCTTCGTTCTTCCCCCAGCAGGGAGGATGTTTGCAGAGGCTGCCTCTCAGAGAGGAGTAGAGCTGGAGCATCTTTGCCACTGAAGACGTGAACGAGCCTTCTGTGGCCTTGGCCAGGCAGGTACCCCAGGCAGGCTGAGTGTTTGCTGAACAGGGTGAAGCTTCTGAGCTCATCTGGCTTCTCAGCATCTCTAAGTGATAGAGGGGTGATGCCACTGGCCTGGCTCTGATTGTTATCTTCAGGAAAATATTCCCAAAATGTGACAATACAAAGAGTTCTGACACTTGAAACTCATTTGTTTAAATAGCAGAAATCTCTGGTGTTTCTTTTATCTCCATGACATCATCTTCCCTGACCCGTCTCTATTGAGAATTTGTCAATGACTCCCATTTCCACGCCTTCCCACAGCAGGGAATCCCCTCCCCTTCTGGCTCTGTCTGTCAGCCGCTGCCCTTCTTCCAACGTCTTCGTGTCATGCCACCAATTAGCCTTCCTCCTGAAATTATTCTTGTAATTTTTATTTAAATAGGGCTTTCCCCCCTGCCCCGCTTTTTCAGAGCTCCCTGGGTTTGAGGTTTCCTTATTTGCCATCTTGCAGGGCTGGATCAACTGCAGCTGCTTAAATTAGAGGGCTTCCATCTCCATCTATTTACTGTGGATGGACCAAAAAGGAAGGGCTTCCCAGCAGTTTTGTGTCAAAACAATGACTTTCATTAAAAGGGAGCTTGTTCTGTGAGTGACTCCTCTGGATTTAAAGGCAGGAGAAAAGAAACACAAATGCCACTGCTGAAGCATGAAGGCAAAACTTGAACAAATGGCTTGGGCAGCAGCTCACCCCTTGAAACATTCTTTGCCCAGTCTTGGAAAAGGAAGAAAATATGCTATTATTTGGGGATTTTTCCACAAGCAGGGCTGCTTTGAGGCTGCATGTGAGACTTAAGCCATAATCTCGAGCTCTGCGCAGCAAACATGATGCGATATCAGGATGGAAAGCTGCACCGAGGGCTTGCAGAGGGCAGGGACTGCTGGGTTTCCTCCTGCCATGCCTGCCTTGCTGTGTGTGCAGGTAGGCAAAGGCTTTGTCGGGGGTTTCTGCCACCTCAGTCCAGGAAAACAAAGTTTGGAGCAAAGTCCTCATTAAGAACCAGGCAAAGTGCCAGAGCTGAGTTTCCATGGTGACCATGGGATGCTGTGGATGGGTTTGGTGCCTTGTTTGGGCTCCGCAGCCCTGAGAAACACCCTGTGAGCGGTGGGGTGGAAGCACCTTTGGGTGCTGGTGAGGGCAGCGCATGTTTTATCTTATCTAGCCCTTCAGCTGCCCCAGGGAGGGGAAAAGACATGAAATGTTCCTGCCCCATGCCCCTGATCGTGGGGTGGAGAGATGCCGTGACAAAGTCTCAAAGCCGAGGTCCTTCAGCAAAAGTCCTGCCTTACAACCTTGACTCAACCTCTGGATCCCTTCTGGGCCGGGGACCAGGATAGGAGCCTTATCCCCCCCCCCCAAAAGAAGTGCCTCATTTGGAAAGTAGTGGTGGTACTCGTGGGATGTAGGAGACTGGTAGCAAGCTGAGAGATTGATGGGGCCATGGCATTTTAGGCACAGTTGCCTCCATCCCCAAGGAGAGGCGGGCATACACGGGCTGAGGAGGGTTGATGGCAACCAGAGGATCTGTCACGGGGGAGAGAGGCCAGAGCACCGTTCTGGATAACTTCAGCTTATTTGCCTGCCTTGCAAAACAAATGACTAGACCTGTTCTTGGAGAGCTGTACCTATCTTTGAAGCATCCTTGGCCTTTGTTTTATCATCCCAAACAACATTAAATGCTTGCTGGGGAGGCATCTTATCAGGCGCATCTACTTGGAAAGGCTTGAAAGGCTCTCGCCGTGCTTTTCTTCATGCATGCTTTGAATTTATAGCTCCCCATTGCCTGGAGAAACCCACTGAGCTGGGGAATATATATTGGAAAAGGAGAGGATGCCCCCATCCTGAGCAGAGCTGATATTAATGTGGCTGTTACACCTGCGGCATGGCTCTCTCCCACCAAGGTGCCTGCAGTCAGACCAGGCACCAACCCATCAGCAGGACCGGCTGTGCTGCTTCCCCGGCGCTGGTTCCCTGGCGTGATAAACACTGCTTCAGTTGCAGGGGGCGGGGGGGAACCCAAATCAGCACAAGGGGTTAGTACTAGAGGCAGAATCTGGTTTTTTTGGCTTCCAGGCTGAAAGCTGCTCAACCGATCCATGGGGTCTTGGGATGATTCTCACCACTCCGCTGTGGGTCAGCTTCCTTGTGCCCAAACTGAAGCAATGGCTGGACCTGGGAGGGGGCAGTGCTGGTGCAGCTGCCCCGGGCTTGCTCAGCACCAAACATCCCCAAAGCTCCCAAGGGTGGTTTGCTGCTTTCATCCCAGGTCAGCCGAGAGCAGCGAGATGCGGGAGCGGAATTGGTGCACCCCATGTCCAGGACCGCAGCATGGGGACGCTCATTGCATGGTGTGGGGGCCAGCAGAAAGGTGACAGCCCTGGGTTTGGCCACAGTGGGGCTTCCAATATCAGGGAGCCACGCAGCCGGTCCTCTGCAAACAGGGCTGTGCCCTCGGAGGAGCAGAAAGCCTTGGGCAAAGATGCGTAGCTGGTATAAAGGCTAGAAAAGAACTTGGCTCTGAAACCACGGCAGCCTGCTGCTTCCCGCTGTCCGAGAGGCATTCCACCAAGTCATCTCCACACACAAGGAAAGCCGAATCCTTCTGACGGCTCGCCATGCAGACTCCCCACGGACGCTGCAAGCCAAGCCAGCTTTCTCATCGTCTCCCATGGCCCCCCAGTTGTAAACGTGAAACCAAGCTGGTGAATAATTCTGCTGATGCACAGAAGAGAAAATCCTGTTCTCTCCTCCTGGGGCAAACTGGCAGAGCTAATGGGAGGAAGAGGCTGTGACAACTTCATTTTGTGGCTGAAGTCAGCAGATCTGGCTCCTGGGACACATGGGAACAGGCAGGGAGCAGGAGCCACTTTTGCACAGTCACTTCTCGGAGGCAAGCAGGGCTTCAAAGGAAAAATTCTTAGCAGGATGTCGCAACTTGGGAGGAGGAGGAAAAAAACAAGCAAACAAAAAAACCCACAAGCTCTGTAGGGCTGGGAAATGCAGCGTCAAGGAATGAGGTTTCCAAAAAGCCTTTGCTTGGTACTCGCATCTCCCGGTGCAGCCGAGGTAGCAACATGAGCTGACACGGGCGATTCCTGAGGACATCAAAGCTCAGTGTGGCCAGTGGGTGCAAGCATGAATTTCACCTGTCCAAGGCAGGGATCTCCCTTCTCCACAGCAGGATGGGGCTCCACCAGAGGCAGTGTCGCTTAAAGCGGGTGCCAGCAGCCACGGGAAGGAGAGGCTCAGCTAGGTGCGTGCCAGTGCAGGCGCAGACCTGGGGTTATCCAGCAGCCTGACCAAGCTCTGAGGGTCTATCTTAAAAACCCTCCGGGATCCAGACACTGGGGCAGGAGGATGGACCTGGGAACTGGGCAAGCACGCACATGTGCAGGGCAGGGTGGGTTAGGTTACTGGGATGTGCAGGATGGACCATCATGCCCGCATGCTCCGTGCGGAGATGCCAAGAGTTTGTGGGGTGCTTGCCCCACAAGGCTAAGATGCCTCTTCCTCCTAATGCTGTCACTCGAGTAACCCCTTCTGCTGAGGGTGGGGAGATGGAAAGCGGAGCATGTGCTCACCTCCACACAGGGCCAGTCTTTTCCAGGTCAGCAAGGACCTCACGGCCATGTTCATGAGCCAGCCTGGTGGAGGAGGTGCCCAGCATGTGCAGGCTCCTGGCTCTGTCCTCCCAGTTTCTGGCCCTGCTTGAATCCCAAAGGACGGGAAGCCTGGCAGCTCCCAGAGGCCATCCTTGCCTGCTGGGGGCCGAGGGAGCTAAAAGCAGGCTCCAGGAGGGAAGTGGTTTGGAGGGTGATGTTTGTCAGCGACGATGAGCACACAGCCATGCTGCGGGAGCAGTGTGGCAGCTGGAGCTGGCAGCCCAGCTCCTGTCCTGCTTGTTTTGGCTGACTTCAGAGACCTCTGGCTTTTCCTAGTAGCACTTGGATGTGCCGGTACTCAGGAGACCTGACCAGGCATATTCAGACAACACCAAAAATATCTTCCTTGCAGGCAACAGAGGCAAAGGGGAGCCAGCAGCTGGGCTCCCCGAGAGACAGGGGACTGGGCTGCAGAGGGATGGTTATTTCGCTTGGGCTTGCTCTCTGCCAGCCAGAAATGCATCCCATAGAGCCACAGCAGTGGCACATTGAAGGCGACCCCCCCCCAGGCAGGCACCAGGTCTCAGCTACGGAGGGGATGAGGAGCTAGATCTCCTCGCTTTCTGTGGTGCATGGTGTCCCAGCTGAACACCATGCTCCCCTAACCCTTGCTCCTAACCAGTTGTGCTGGCTGTTGCGGCAGGTACCTGGCGAAGCTGTCTTCCGTGGGGAGCATCTCCGAGGAGGAGACCTGCGAGAAGCTGAAGGGCTTGATCCAACGCCAGGTGCAGATGTGCAAGAGGAACCTGGAGGTGATGGACTCAGTGCGGCGTGGAGCCCAGCTGGCCATCGAGGAGTGCCAGTACCAGTTCCGCAACCGCCGCTGGAACTGCTCCACGCTGGACACCCTGCCTGTCTTTGGCAAGGTGGTAACGCAAGGTGAGCTGGGAGGACACGTCCCTGGGGTGCTGCTGCATGGGGCAATGGCTACAGCGGCAGTCCAGGGGGCTGCAGGCGAGTTCTGCTTGCTTGCCCCGAAGCGAGCAGCTGGGGAAAGTAGGGAACAGCCCAGTGTTGGATTTTGGGGCACACGGGTCTTCCCTGGGCACTTCAGCAGGGCCCTTCTGACTGCGTTAGGGGCAGCATTTCCAGACCCTTGGCAGCTGCTGGGTGCTTCCTCTCCTAAACCTTTTTCACACCCAGCAGTTGCCCATTGCATGGAGGCACCAGCCCAGGGCATCCAGAGAGCCTGGACCTTTTACCAGGACATGCTAAGTTCGAGCAGGGACCTAAAGTCACCCTGAGGTCTAATCTCTGCTCTGACAAGCCCAGGAGCTTCACTCCGCAAAGCCACAGCTGCAGCAGGATGCTGGATTTGCTCAGTCTCATCTCCAGGCGGCCCTGAAGCAGTGACCACTGCCAGACTGGCCCACTGCTCTCCAGCAGAGCTGTCTTTGGGCAAGACCTTGGGAGGACAGCCCTCTGCCGCCCGGTGCGAGTAAAACACGGCGCGGCTGGACCCTCCAAGGAGAGCACCATTGCCTACCACCACCCAGCTGGCAGCCTTCAGAGGGGATTTATGGCTAGGGCAGCCCCCAGCCCCTCCGACCCCAGCTGCACACAGGCATCCCAGAGGTACCGGGCTGTGATCAAACCAAGCAAAGGACTCAGAGCATCGGGGTGAGGCGACGGAGGGGAAAGCCCCTCTGCAACCCCTGGAGACCACCGAAGTGGCCCTTGCCTCCCTGCGGGTGCCACTGCCATCTCTCATGCACTGTCTCACTTCCCATCCCAGGACCCATAGACCAAAGCCTTCCGCCCCGCCGCCTCGGCTCCTTGTTTGACTTTCCTCCCCTCAACACAGGGGTGAAGATCTCTTCTTGTGAAGGTTCAGGGACTGGAAATACCAGAAATACCAGAAACTAAAAGTCGTCTCTTTTTAGGCAGCCACAGCACAAACCGACCAACACGATCCTACTATTAACCTCGATTAACTTGGAGGCAGTTCAGTCCCCGCACTGGCTGGGGCCTCCCCAGCCACTGCCGCCCGGGCCAGATTACATCTGGGCCACCAAAGTCTGGGCTGCGACCACCAAAGTAGCTGCCCTCCATCCGAGCAGCGAGCTGGGGCGATGTCTGCTTGCCAGCCATCCCCCCCTCTACCCCTAGCACGGGACTACCCCAAATGCCAACCCTCCTTGCTCGGAAACGGAGGGGCTGTGTCCTCAACCGGCCTCAGAGGACAGTGCGGACTTGGGTGTTGCAAGAGCTGAGCCCTGGCCACACCGCCCTGTGTGTTTATGCCCAGGGCTGTCCCCTGACTTCCCAAACAAGCTCTTCCTAACCGTGCGGCACCACGTAGGTACATGCAAGAGCTGGGAAGGGGCTGCACCCTGGGGCACAGCGTGGTTTTGCAAGGCATTTGGGGAGCAGAGGGGGGCTTCGCAGGGTAGTTTTGGGAGGTGCTGGGAGCTACAGGACCCTGTGTGAGGGGATGGCAAGGATCTGCAGCTGAAGGGGATGTTCCTGGATGTGGAAGGCAGCCGACTATTTTGGATGCAGGAGGGATTTCATGGCAGAGATGCCCTGCAAGCACCAGGCATGACAGTCTCTCCCTATAAGCTCCGGAGAGCTCTCCCCACATAGGCTCTGCAGCCTTTGCATCTCCTTCATTGCCAGGTTATAATTTTCCCATCACATTCATGTTTTTAACCTTGTGGGGCAGTTCCCAGCTCCTTCACTATTGCAAGACAGGGCTCTCACTGCCACAGACGATCTCCCAGGATCAAGGCATTGCTGCTGAGACTGGTCCAGGCTGGGCGCTAAGCAAACGGCTTGCCTGGGAATGGGGAGGATGAGTGTCCTGCTTACTGGGAGGGAGAGACGGAGCAAAGGGCTTGACTTGATAGCTCTGCGTAGCATATTTCACCGAGAGCCAGTGTTCAGACCAGCTTTTCATGGGGGTTTATGTGCAACACCAGCATTAGGAAGGAAGAGGCGCACATGCAACGGCCCACCAAGGGCCTTTGGCCACCCGGTTGCACCGCCTCCAGAAAGCCCTCTCACGTGTCTCAGACTTGCTGCCACGTTTCCCACCATCGTTTGTGCTGTTGCAGGGACGCGGGAGGCAGCATTCGTCTATGCCATCTCTTCGGCAGGGGTGGCCTTCGCAGTGACCCGAGCCTGCAGCAGCGGCGAGCTGGACAAGTGTGGATGTGACCGCACGGTGCAGGGGGGCAGCCCGCAGGGTGAGCATGCGAGGGCCGGGTGACAGGATGATCGCGTGGGGATGCAAAATGGCCAAGCATAGAAACGCCTGCTCTCTGCAGCCATCCAGAAAGGAGGCAAAAGTAAACCTCCTGAGTTCCACAAAAAGGCATCTGGGAGCATCACCCGTGGGACAGGGGAAGCATCTTGCCCGTGTCCGCCCCCAGAGCCACACTCCCCAGCTTCCCCAGTCCTAGGCAGCTCAGCCTAGTGAGTAGCAAGACAGAACTGGGGGCAGGTCAGCTGTATTTTAGCAAGAGCAGGGCTGGAGAGGACGCGCACAGCAGGCTGGCTGTATCCATCTCATCTGTGCTCTCTGCCTTAGGTTTCCAGTGGTCGGGCTGCTCCGATAACATCGCCTATGGCGTGGCCTTCTCGCAGTCCTTTGTCGATGTCCGCGAGAGGAGCAAAGGGGCTTCTTCCAACAGAGCATTAATGAACCTCCACAACAACGAGGCAGGGAGGAAGGTAATGGTGAGGGGGAAAGCTGGGCAGCCAGGGCGGCTCTGCAGCATCCCAGGGGGGTCTGCGGCCACTGCGGGAACCTGTTTAGCCTCATTTAATCCCATCGGTTCACATGCATCAGCATCGCTCTCCACACAACCCTTCCAGACCCATAGGTCGCACCCTTCCTGCTGTGTCCAACCCGAGCTGACTGTCCCATCTCATTGCATCTGTCTGTTCCTCCAGGCAATCCTGAACAACATGCGGGTAGAATGCAAGTGTCACGGTGTGTCAGGCTCGTGCGAGTTCAAGACATGCTGGAAAGCCATGCCCCCCTTCCGCAAAGTGGGCAATGTCCTGAAAGAGAAATTCGACGGTGCCACGGAGGTTGAGCAGAGCGAGATCGGATCCACCAAAGTGCTGGTGCCCAAAAACTCCCAGTTCAAGCCACACACGGACGAGGACCTTGTCTACCTGGACTCCAGTCCCGACTTCTGTGACCACGACCTCAAGAACGGGGTGCTGGGCACCAGTGGCCGGCAGTGCAACAAGACCTCCAAGGCTATCGATGGCTGCGAGCTGATGTGCTGCGGCCGAGGCTTTCATACGGACGAAGTAGAGGTTGTGGAAAGGTGCAGCTGCAAGTTCCACTGGTGCTGCTCCGTCAAGTGCAAACCCTGCCATCGGGTGGTGGAAATCCATACGTGCCGGTGATGCATGGAGGGGAGCACCCAGCCATCCCCCTCTCTGACCCTGCTTCTCCCTTGCCCCACGGCCAGGACTGAGGAAGTAACCCAGACGCTGCAGGGAGAGCACAGCTCTTTTACAGAGACAGAGCCCCAGAGGAAAACAGATTTTAAAGAAAAAAAAATATTTAAAGTTTAAAAAAATTGATCATTGTTGGCTTTTTTTTTAAATTTTGTTTTGTTTGCTTGCTTTATTTATTGCTGAAGCCAGAGCCCCTCGGTGTCCTGTGCCCACAGGGACGCGTCTCCTCTGGGCGGCCAGCTGGGGACCTGTGTGATGCCCGCTCTCATCAGACGAGCTCCTGCTAACTCCAGAGCGTTGCAAAGGGGAGGTGGTTAAGCCGAGGCTAGCATTAGGCTCTCAGTATCTTCTATCACATCTTCTATCGCAGTCATTTTTACATAAGGAATGTGCTGAGCCCTGGCTGAGCCTCAGGAGGGGACGGAGCGCAGGCAGCGTGGGCAGCCAGGCACGTTGCAGAGGATGGGCGGATGGTGAGGGTAATCAGTTATCGAGGGGGATGTGGGACACTCCTGCACCCCTTGGTGTGGGATGCTTGATGGCCTCCTGGGCATTGGAGGGGTTTTGGAGCAGCTCCAGCAGCCACTCTGATTTACAGAAGCTCCTCAGCAGCTGCCCAGGGCTGTTGGTGGACACGATGGATGTTCCCACCATGCTCCCCTTCCCCCTCATTTCTCCAGCATCTTGTTCAACTGGAGACTGTGAAGAGGGTCCGGAGAGGCCATGGTACTTGCAATCCAATGACTCTTAATACAGCTGGGAGCTGGTGAGAGGAAATCCCAAGGGATTTCTTTTCTTCTGCCCCAGAATTGCCCTCACCTTGCTCACCAGCATCCCACAGCCGCCTCTCCTCTTCTCCTTCCGCATGCCTGCTCTCAGCACCGGTGAGGGCTCTGGGGACAGTCCCAATCCCTCTGGCTGCTGAGAAAAGCAAGAGTATAAAGTGGAGCAATTGGTGGGATGGGGGAAAAGATGCCGCTGGAGGGAAAGGCACTGCTCCTGCTCTGCCGCCACCCTCAGGCAGCGGGAGCGGAGGGGTGAGCCGGAAGACACTGCCATGTGTGCCCCAACCACTGGGATTTCATGCAGCAGGGTCCCTGCTGCCCTATCATGCTCCCTACAGGCTGGCCTGGAGCGATGCCCTGAGGATAATGCGCTGTCCTACCCGCTCCGGCTTCCCCTCTGCCTGGGATCGGTTAGCGCAGAGTCCTTGCTGCCGGGCTGCAGGACGAAATATTTGGAGAACTAATAAGCAGAGGGGCACTGTGAGGGGAGGTGGAAAGCGAACCAGTTCCTCTCTCCCTCACCCACTTGTCTGAGAGTCAAGAGGCAAAAAGGGAGTGGAGAGGAAAAAAAACCCTCGAAATGGCACCTCGAGCCAACAGGAACATCTGCCCCCGGCATGGCGAGGGGTCGGCATGGGGTGGCGTTGCTGAGCCCTCCTGCAGTCTTGTTTTGTTTCTTCATTGCTTCATCTTAAGAGGGGAAAGGTTGGGGGAACGCACAGACATACGTTAAATCCTGTCTGTGCTGTGGCAGTGATGGGCTGGGGGAGAGCCTGTGGTCGCTGGAAGGCCTCCAGACACCGTCCGGCTGGGAGGCTGCTGACAACAGAGGCAGAGAGAGGTTTGTACCGAGGCATCCCCCCAGCACCCCCGGCTGCCTCCCTCCTGCCTGCCCAGCCCCAGCTCTACAAAACTTTCAGCAAAGGGTGCCAGGTGGCAAGGGGACTGGCACCTGGGGGAGACCCCCAAGGTGGGGCCACCTTGGGTTGATCCACTCCGATGCAAACCAGAGATCCCACCAGAGCAGCGCGGAGTGGGGGTTGCCTCTCAATGGCTCGGTTGGCCAAGGGTGCAGTGTGAAATCCTCAGGGGAGGAACTAAACTTCACCCCCCCCAGCTCCATCTCTTTACCCCCCCCCCCAAGGCTGCAAGTTCTCAAGTACCTTGGAGACTGTTCCTCCTCTTCCCAGCTCACGCTGAGGAGGCCACGGACCCCAGGCCACTGGCCAAGTTTTCTGCTCGTTGTCCATCTAGGATGAAGGCCAAAGCTGAACAAGACAATCCCGATCAGCGTGGAGATAATCTTCATGCAAGGGATTTTTTTCAAGCTGCGATGAAAGCTGAGCCCTGTAAATGTCACCCGGAGATACCCTGGCTCCGCAGCGCTCTGGCTCTTCTCACAACTGTAAATTTCAGCACCGGGGGCGGGAGAGAAATGCCTTTTTTCCTATTTACTTTGTCTATTAAGTCATGAGCTTGCGCTGAATGAGCCACGGGCTTCTCCTAGCAATCAGGCTCCGCAGGGCTGTGCAAAACCAGCACGTGCTGCAAACAACCAGTTGTTGGTCTCCTCCCCAGTCCTTTGCTAGGAGAGGTGCCCAGGTGGTGCCTCTTGACAGTGTAAAGGGGACAGCGAGCCTGTCCCTGTCACTCCTCCTCTCTGTCCTCAGGAGATGCTGGTGTTTGGACCACAGACTGCATCCCTGCTTTCCCATCAGTGGAAGGAGAGCTTGCTCACTAATCTTCTGCTTTAACCACTTGACACACTGCTGGCTTAAGGGGCCGCTTATCTTCGATTTCAGTAAGGCTGCGACTTCCTCCTGTCGAGAGGGTGCTGATATTCATCTGCTAGAACAGTGCTCTCCTCCCCTGCTGCGAGCGCTGCTGGGAACGCCTTGCCAGCAGTCCCGAGGTGTGTGTGAGCTGGGAGCGGGCAAGAACCGCCCAGAGATGCAGCGTCAGGGACCTGCTGCCTCTTGCCTTCAGTGCTGTGCTGCAGGGCACTGGGTTTGGATTTGGATGCTGGGCCAGGTGCCTGGCACACTCCAAGCTGCCCCCAGCCAGCGCATGGCATTTGTCCCTTGTCCTTCCACAAGCTGGGGATGCTCAGCTGCATCCTTTTCGTGCCATTCCCTATGGTCCGGAGCTGCTCGCTTCAGCACGGGTTGCTGTGGGGCCCAGCGGCACTAATGCTCTGCCTCCTCCCCTTTCTTTAGTTGTAGCTCTCTCTGGTTTTGTGCCCTCCAAGCTCACCTTTCCCCAGTTCACCAATGGCTTTGCTCACTTTGGCCTCTCTGTGGGCAGCAGAGGTTGAGCACTTTTTTTAAGTTTAACAGGAATAGGATGGGAGGGAGAAAACGAGACCTGAGCCTCCCAAAACCCCATCCTTCAAACAGCTCCTCTCTTCCCCGGTGGATTCCACCCCACAACCTCCCAGCTCAATCCCTTCCCCTCCCCGCTCCAGCTTCAGCCCCAAGCAAGGGACCGTCTCCATTCCCCCACCACCTCCCAGCATGGTGGTGAAACGAAGATGCGCTTCACCCCCACACTGAAACAAGGTGCAGGGACATGCTGGCTGCTCTCTGACCACGGATGGAGCAAGACTTCCATGTTCTCCTCCCCCAGTGCCCCCCACCTGCTCAGCCCTGTGCATCCGAGAACATGCCCCTAAGCCCCTCTCCACCGCTGCATCCCTCCACGCTCTCGCCCTCTGCCAGCCCCAGGGGCTCGGCACTCAGCCCCCCTCCTCAGCCCCCTTGCCACCCTCCCCCTGCTGAGCTCATCTCTCCTCGAGGACTCGCAGGCCGGTGTCTCCACCCAGCCTCTCCCGCTCATAAACCTTCCTGGATGTCCCACTGCCAACTCGAGATCATCGTGGCAAAAACAGGACATCCCCTCCAGGTCCTCCCCACCCTGCTCCAGTGGATGGGTAACTCCATGATTTTTTTTTTCCCATTTCCCAAACTCCCAACTTCACCACCATCTTCTGCTCCTTTTTTCTTCACCTTTTCTCCTGGAAAACCCACCCTATGTGTCACATACCTTCAACCTCAGCTACTCCCTGCTCTGGGCTTCACATTTGCCAACCCTTTGCCCTCCGGTCTGAGCACGACCCGGCCAAGCGCATGGGGCAGAGCAGAGATTTCTCTCCAGCTGTTTCAGCCACATCACCCCCGTGCCCTTTATTGGCCATGAACACTTCCATCACTCCCAACTATCTCATCCTCCCTCCCCGGGCACGCTCAGCCTCACCCGCCACTCTCCTCACAAAGCAATTAAATCACCATGGATGACATTAATGACATTTGCGCAGAGCACGAATTAGCACTCACATCCTTCCCCTCCCTTACACCATCAGGGAATGCAATAGCAAACCCCACCGCATATCCCTGCAGCGGTGACCACAGGAATTTTCCTATATCTCCTGCTCTCCCTTTATCGACACTGATTTACCAGCCAGCTGTGGGGAAGGCAGGTGATGGAGACAGCAGGAAACAAGAGCTTGGGGCCACTGAGAAAAGATGCTTTAAGGATGGGATGGTGTCTCTCTACATGGGCAGATGGCAGAAGAGGACGGGTCCTCCCTACAGCTGCCACGTCATGGGATTGCGAAATGACGGGTCTCACGTCCGGCTGGCATAAGAGCACCCACACTGGGGTGACCACCGCTCCCACCTGCACCAGCTGAAGGTGCTGGTGGTGTCTTGGCTGCCTGGGCGCTGCTGCCATCAGCCCCGCAGCTGCGGCAGAAGGCCACGCTGAAGGACACCCAGTGGAGCAGAGCCATTGACAGCAGCGTGATCCCATGACAGCGGGAGGGCGCCCAGCCAGCGCTCCTCAGAGAGGCCTCCCGACCCTGACTGCCAAAATCCTGCTTTAAGTAGAGGAAAATAAATTGTGCAACCTGCCTTAGACCGGATCGTAACGCCCCGTTGCAGGCAGAGGGGGAGAAAGGGGCAGGAGCCAGGCTGAGGATCGGGCCCCGCATCTCAGTGTTTACACTGGACCATGCTAACATTTGGCACTCGAGCAGCACCAGCACCAGGCACTCCCCTCCCACCTCACAGAGGTACGCCTGGGATGTTTCTGCAGCCGCAGAGCCCCTCCTCAGGGGTCCCAGGGATGTGGCCACACACAACCCCCCTCCTTGTGGCTCCTGAGGTCTGAACACAGGCACAAGCTCCCCTAGGCTCTGGCCTCCTGGCCTGGCAAGACATTCCTCCCCCCATCCCAAAACTGATCATTT